TATCTAAGAGCAAATATGCTCTGCAGAGAGCCAGCAGCATTAGGATGTCCTCCAATACAAGTTTCTGAGTTTTCTGCTTCATCATATTTCTGAGGAACAAACATGGTTCTGCTTATTAGGTGCAACTATATACCTATCACAGCACTACAATGGGGCTTGGAATCCCCTTAGAAAACTACAGCATAAATCATTTGTCAAGTGGACTTTGCAAATGGAGAAGCGGGTTGCTTCTAGCAGTCATTGATGCTAAAAGTTGTGCATTCCTGAGAGAAGAAAGAGTTGAAAACAATTTTCCTTCATAAGAGACATCACCAAGTATCTTCATTAGATGAATATTGATTTTCTGTACTTGAATTGTGAATCATTATTAATGAAAGGTCTTTGATATATGTTTTTCAGAATGCTCATGTATGAATCATGAATGAAAATAACACTGAAGTATTCAATGATGGCTCTTTAATGACACCAAGAAAACAGTTTCAGATTACAGATTGGAATAGACAGAGAGGGCTTTGCCTGGCGCAGGAGTCTGAAGCTCAGATGTACAAGAAAGAGGAATAAAATATTAGCTCCAGAGAATATTTTGCATGTTATCCTTCTTTATGATAGATCTTTCCTATTATGTAATTGTTACAGAGTATCTGGTGCTTGGTATTCATTTCTACTCTTTCCTGATACATTCTCCTAATTTTTTCCATTAAGATTTATTGTAAAACTTTGGCTTGACTAGAATTACAGTTGTAGGGACTGACTCAAGTTGAAGATATTTACTTAATATCATCCTCTAAAAATGTTAAGAAATCCCATGTAGTAGTTAACCTCTCACTGTAACTATGTCTTCAGTGGGATCATAGAATTTGCAGGGGCCATTATCTGTGGAAAGGTCATGGCCAGTGTGTGAACTCTTGTGCATTTTGAAGAACTGTTTACCTGTGCCTCGATACAAATTTTTAAAAAGGATTTAGCAATGATAGACTAATACCTGCATTGTAGGCAAAGTTTTTTTTTCCCAGAAAATTACAACTCCGTAAGTCTCCTGTTTTTTCATCCATGGATATTAGCTAGGCAATTTGCTAAATATGATGTTAAAAATAAAAAGTAAGTTACTTTTCCACTTCACTATTTCTAAGTTTCTGGCAGAAATCTAAAGATCATTTCTCTTTGCGCCATCTCTGGGAAAGGCTCTTTTGCTAAAATTCTTCCCATTTTTCCTGTCCTTTCACCTCAATTATGATATACTTTATCCATTATTTCAGCTTCCCTAGTCTTACAGTATAAATCAAGATCTGGAAAACTTCTCAATAGCGAATTTAATGGCCCTGGAGTAAAGGGAGACTTTTCTTGATGAAAGCCAGGGGAACAGAAAAAAAAAAAAGCAAAATATATGCTCTTGAAATTTAATTCCTATGGACTTTTATTTTTCTTCAAACTACACCAACTGAAATGGTGAAAAATGTGAGTAGCTTCAGAGGAGCTGAAAAGCTGTAATCAGATACGACTTAAACTTTGGCACTTTATATTTGTATCTTTTGGAAAGGCTTTCTATAAGGCTCTCTGGTATTTTGGCATGTACCCAAGAGATATTATGAGTCATGTATTCATTATTATGCTAGAAAAGAGCCAAGTATTATCTCAAAAAAGTCTGAGCTGAGTTTTCCTACCACACAATTTATATGTGGACAAGGCGGCTTCAGATAGGCCTCTCAAATTAAAATTAAAGCTTCCTTTTTTTGGATAAGAATCTCCTTAAACATTTTTTATGATGTAATTTTCATTGTTTATACTCACTCACTCACAAAGTGTGTTTGTACAGCCTTTTGCAGATGTGCATTATCTTTCTTGAAAACATAAACCAACACTGAGATGTACTTTACGGCAGATAGCAGGATATCTGAGTCATTTGTTTCCATCCTATTTTCCTTCACATTCAGTAATGGGTCTAGGCCTAACTCAACAGTTTTAGCATTAACCCTTTCCATTCTTCTTTTAATTCCATAAAAAGTTAGTGCCAATGATAGCCAAGGATGAACTTCAGATAAAGAGCTGGTGTTGGTAAGTATTTCTATGTCCACTCCAGTAATGAGCTGACTTGGATTCTGGTCCTACCTCTGACATCACATTTATGTGACTCTGGGTGAGCCCTTATTTCCCCTGAGCCAGTGCTCCTTTGTAACAAAAAGGACTTAATAATTTTCTTTCTTGAAATATTATGGTAAGAGGGGAGAGAGATGTGAGAAAGGACATGACATAAATGAAAAGCAAATAAAATATATTGTATAACGTTTTGTAGCTTGATCATTCTGAAAATCTTTGAGAGAAGGTGAGCTTTTGGAGGCACATTTGAAGTAATGGCAAATTATTACAAATCTTGTTATTTTGATGATAAGCAGGCAGTGCCACTGAAGACACTGTATTCCATATGAATGCTGCCTTTGGAGCTATGAAATACTATTGTTCTCACTGGATTAAGGTCATTTGATCTTAGAAAAATATATTCAATTCTATCATCTGTTCAATACTACCTGTGAAGCTGCAGATCTGTATGCCAAGGCCAGTGAGAAAAAGGAGAGATTAAACAACTGTTTTTAAAACTTGTGACATTTTTGGATTAGGGAGGACCAAAATTCCTTAAAATGTTGCTGTAATTCCTATGCCATTGCTTCTAGCTCTGTGATTTTGTATGTAAAACGTTTTGGATATTAACTCTTCCTTATTCAAGGATCTGCTTCTCTCCAACAAGCAGAAATTTGAGGTGCAGATGGAAATTTGAAAATGAACTTTTTCATGTAGGTTTATTATGGCATTGATGATTTGAAAATACATCTCAGGTTCTATCTACTGAACCAGAACAATTAAACACTGTAATTCTATATTGTCAGAAATACTTTTCTCTGTAACAAGCTGCTCAAAATAATCATAGTGCTTCAGTAAATAACCCATAATTTATAAATGTTCACCAAGAAAATATTTCTAGAAACCACATTCTTGGCTCTATCAAAGGTGAATGTCAGCCAGGTGCAGTAGCACAGCTGAGGTAGGACATATTGTTAATTCAGCCACATCACATAAATGACAATTAATTATCTTCTTTGAAGAATAAAGAAGAGAGAACTATACACTGTCTTTCTGTATTTGGAAAGAGAGGTTATTCAACATTTGAGCCTTTATGGGACCATATGTGGTATAACTTTGTCTCACCAATAAACTCTGAGATATAGTTTATAGCTTAGGAAGTTGGTTGTCTATGTTGTCTAGCACTGGTCTTTGAAAATTGCTTAAAACTATTGAAAACTGAAACCATTGAAAATTGCTTAAAAGTACTGAGAATCAAAGAGGTATTGGCAAACATCAGTGTGTCTTGTTACTCTTTCAAGAGTACCATCAAATACACCATCTCAGAGCAAATACTACTCCTTTCCCACACATATAAACTGTCATATAACAGAACGCTGCCATGTTCATTGTGGACATCAGATTAGCATCAAGGTATCGGAAACTGCAACAGTCTTACTAATAGAATTTTAGGTGCTTATTCCACTAGGAAGAAGTGGGGTAAGTTTATCATGAAACCACTGTTAACCATATTAGCCAACTTGCTGCAATTACATCTAATTTAAACATCAAATGAATGTAATTATATATGATATTTAAGCTATAAAATAAACTTAAATGCTCAGTCTCCTTTCGAAAATTCAAATCGGAAACATAAGATTATTATTATTATCTATACTAATAGATTTCTCAAAATTTCATTTTGAATTTATAGTGATTAATAGGTCATGTAAGATTTCTCTAACTTAACATGTTTAAGCACAGCAGAAAAACACCAGAAGGAATGTGATTTAAGACCTTCCATCCAGGACAGCATTTTTTGATCCTATTTTGTCTTTTAGTCTATTGTTTGATCCTGGGGTTTGAGATAGCAGAGCACAGTCGTCCAAATTCTCATCTCATTAAAATACCTAATTAAAAAGAACAAATTCTCATGTCAAACACACTCAAATAGAACTTTCATGATGCACTTCTACAGTTGTTTGAAAATGCTTCTACCTATTTTCCATTGCAATAAATCTGAAGACCTTGAAAATGTCATATGTTTATCTTTTATACGGTTGATAAATCAACCAGTAGTTCTCTACTGGAGGTGTTTTCAATGCCTAGGGGACATTTGACAATGTCTGGAGATATTTTTGATTCTTGTGACCAGGGATGGAAAAACAAATAATCCCTAGTATAACTGGCATCTAGTGGAAACCAGAGACACAGCTAAACATCTGACAGGACGAGAGGTCCCCAGGCAAAGAATGATCTCAGCCAAAATGTTAAAGGATGCCAACCCAGAGTTAAATTTCCAGTGTACAGCGACCAGTGGCTATACTCTCAACAGAAATGACAACAGTACAGGGACAACATATAAAAATTTATATTAAAATATATAAGTCAAGGGATGCAAACTAATATAGTCAAAACAGTGCTGGAATATTTCACATGGATGCTTGAATGAATGTCTCCCTCTAATGGTGTTACAGCACGTGATAAACATAAAATCACTTCCCCCTTGTCTCTGAAAATGAAATATAATTGGAGGAGATGACGGGTTTACTGTTCTAAAGGTCAGAAAGACCTTGGTCATCTGTTTGAAAAGAAAAAAAATAGATGCTTTCAAAAACCAGTGCACAAACAGAGCAGTTGAAGTCACACCTTTCATGTATTATCCATTTCACGTTTAAACATGTTCTGAAAATAAAAGAAAGAAGAGTTGTGCTTCTGGTGATAACTATGTCATCTTATGATTTCTGACAGTATTAGGATCTGTAGGCTTAATTTAGCTTGCATTTCAAGCTCATGGCAAGAATAGGTATTAAGCATTTTGTAACTGTTTTGGGAATTTTAAAGGTTATTAAGTTCTGAATAACAGAGCCTCTCATGTTTTCCCACCAAGCTTTTCCCAGCAGTTGAATATATCTGGATCTTATTCTGGTTTTTCATTCTTTTTTTAGCTTCCTGAAATGACTCATGTTCAAACACAACGACCCTGGATGATGTTTCTTCTGCAGAACACTGGATTGATCCTAGGTTGGCTTTCTCTCTTACTCTTGGCTATATATGAACAAAATATTAAAATATAAATTAAGATGCTCAGAATCCTTCAAAAGTGAATCTGTATGACCTTATTTAATTTCCTCCATTGTACTCTACAATGATTAGTAAACAGTATTTTTATCGTAGGTGAAGACTGTGTCTTTTAGTTCATTAACTTAGTAATTTTATAATGCACTTTTGTTTGGGGGTATGTATAAAGGTCAGACTGTACTGTGTGGAAATATTGTTTGTTTCCAATACTGTGATGGAACTTCTGCTATGCTTTTGTCTTTTTTTAGTATCATAAAAAACTTTAAAAAATTGTTTCTCTAAGAAAGAATGTAGTATTTGAAGTAGAAAGATGTCTGTGGGGATAAAATCAGGTGCAACTGCTTTGATGTCTAATTAATGCTTTTTTCTGTGAAATTATAAACCCTTAGCAAACTAAATTATAAACAAATGCAATAAAGTCTAGTTTTAATGTGGTGGCTTGTATTACCTTCTATTACTGCGTGTCAGATTCCAAGCCCTCTCTTATAAAGCCGATACAGTATCGTTCATCTGGAATCATCACCCACTGCTTGGGAGTGCTCATGAGTAAGCAATCCTGGAGACCCAGAGGATATGTCAGCATTCTTCTGCATAAGTCACTTAAGGAAATCTGTCCCAGGCAAGGAGAACTTGGAAACAAAAGATGAAGTTCAAACAAGTTTTTAAATAACAAAACTTGAGTCAGGCAGTAGATAAATGCCTACATGCTTACAGATTGTGTAGCAGAGAATGAGTATGGAAATAATCCTACCGACAAGTATATTTTCTATTCTTTCTGAGGCAATGTAGAATCCTACATGGGATTTCGGTAAGTTAGTACATGAAATGAACAAGCAGCATTGCTGAGAACCCAGCAAAATTATTAAAATAGAAAATAGCCCTGGCTTTAGTCACTTTGTTCTTGGAAGCTGGATACCTAATAGCTTTCTTATTTTTTAATGATGTATCTTGACAAGGGAAAGTGCCTGCTCTTCTATCAAAATGACTCATGGCACCCAGTCGTGTAAGTCTCTCTTGCCTTTTACCCTTCATGGATAACCCTTCGCTGTGCCTGTAGCCAAGCAAAAATCTTTTTCCACTTTTCTTGGTTTCCAAAAAGAAAGGGGCTCCTCCTGCAGTTGTCTGTAGAGCCCCTTGAAGGGATCTTCACTGAATAGTGCAATAGTCCTCAAACTTTGACACCTATCACAACCACCCAGAAGACATATCTGAGGGAAACAGACGGTGGGCTCCATCTCTAGAATTTCTGATTCTGTAGGTCTGCCGTGAGGCCGTGGACCATGATCTTCTGTGACTTCTGGGTGTCTTGGTGCTGCTGGGTGAGATGCAACTCTGAACGCCAGTGCAGAGCTGGAAGTGAGGCAGACTTGGCTTTCAGAAATAACAGGTGCACAACTCTTGCTTATGAGCTGTGTGCTTTGGGGTAAATTAATGAAGCTTCTACAAACCTCACACTAGACATGAGCTCCTAGGTCCAAACTCCCTTTTGTTTTTCTTTTCTCTTTCACTTGGAGCATCAGATCAGCCTGAAATTTACTGGATGAGGCAGTATTTTGATTGATATTTACCATGAAAGGTAAGTAGATTAGACACATACAGTGTGCCCTTCTTTTATTAAAGAATAAATTGTGGATGGACAAACACCCCTTTGTTCAGACCAACATGGTGTGGAGGTCACATGCAAAAAGAACTGGCACCATCTGTGTTTGGGTTCCGATGCCTAGGTTTTGATTTTGACATTAAACCTTTTCTGTCAACTTAATGAGCAGAGTTCTGATGTACAACTTTGCTTCCGGTTCGAGTCTACAGCAGTCCACAACTGGTTAAAGTAGAAACTTCAGTGTGAGCTGCTTACTATCTAACCTTCAAGTTGGAGTGAATTTGATATTGGGGAGAGGGAGTAGGAGACAAAGGTGTTGGAGGACAGCCAGCTGTCCAGAGGACTGGGACATTCTCAGGATCTTACAAGCTTATCACCAGTGTGTTCTGATTAGAAGCACAGACCTTTGCACCTGGATGTCATCCTGAGGATAATGTAGCATAGAGATTTCTGAAGGTACCTTCTTGAGATCCCCATTTTTTCCTTTTTCTACATTATCACTGGCTTTGTACTAATCCACATCAGGCTTAAGACACCAGACCATAGCCTGCAGCGGACCTCCAGCAACAAACCATTTTAAAATTGCTAGAAAATCTCTATTTCTCAAAATCGAGTGCTCATCATAAAAATATGATGACCACCGTACACCATTTAGATATGAAGAGCCTAATTTGGAGTGGTTGACCATCATCGTCCTGCTAAGCTGTCTGTGTTATGGGTCGCTCCCTGATTTTGGGGGGTAGATGATTTTTTCCTTGAAACCAGATTTTTGGATAACATTAGAATGTTTGTTTCTTGGGCCTAAATTTAGGATTCTACTGTATTTCTACTTGATGACTGACTTGGCTTTTCAACAATGAACTAGAAATGCTCCTGGAGAGAAATCAAAGAGCAAGTCATGTAGGAGTTTTATTTAAATATCCATCATATACTGACAGGACTGCCTCTAAGGAGCAGGGAATTGGGCCATGTTGTTAGAATGCTGTGTAGACCCTGGGAAGCATTAGACACTTAAATGTCAGTAGAGGTGCCCATGGACTGTGGCCGTTCCCAACTTCTCCACCCGCTTCCCAGAACCCAGACATGCAGGTAAGACTGTGCCTCCCCTTATGAGAACTTCTCTCACAAGGCTGAGCATTTATAATCCCCTTTCTTCTACAGTGAGAGGAAAGGGCGGTGTCATCAGGCTGCTGATTGCTAGGGCAGGTCGGACCGATCCGATGGAGCTCTTATGTGATCATTAAGAATTCAGGCTCCTAACTGGAATCTCCATTCAAATCCCAAGCTACACGGCTGGTAATAACAGTTTCTTCTTTCTGTAAAGTAAGGCTGAAAATAGAACGTATCTCCTGGGGTTGCAGTGAGGTCAGTGTGGGCTGCTGAGCTTAAGGCCCTAAGCACAGTGCCTGGAAGAGTCTAATGGCTCAATAAATATTAAACAACCGCATCATCACTTCCATCGTCATCGTCATTGATGTTGTCTTCTTTCAATAGAGTTTCACAATTTACCTCTCGGGGTTGTAACTCTGGTAAAGAAAATGTCTTTTCTTAGTAGAGAGTGGAGACCAGGACTTTTATATAAATACAACCCTCTATAAAGCCACCAAACCATTTCTCACCAGCTTGTCAAAGCCGGTCTGTGTTTTCTTCACCTTGAGTCACTTCCAGAGCAGGCGGGATAGAGGCTTCTCTCACTTCCCCAGGAAGACTTTGTCCGTGTGTCCTAACGCTTACACACAGCAATAGCCCCTCTCTCTTTTTCTTTATCTCTCAAAACAAATTGAAAACCTACTACATTCCATCCAGTTACACTAAAGAAATTCAGCTGATTCCCCCTGGTACTCATGTACCTGCTGAGGAAATGAAATCAGCCCTGAAAAGAGTCCAGCACCAGGGGAGTGTTGCTTGAGTCCTGGCTTATTTAAATAAGGCCAGTGTTATCCAGCTGGACCTGAGCAACGGGGCTATACCTGTCCAGGTAGTATCTTTCGAGGTGGGGGATAAGCCCAGGGTATCGAGCACCTCTCAAAATCTGACTGAAATGTAGGAGAAATTTTTGAGAAGCCAGAGAGGTTTTGAGGAACCTTATTTTGAGAGCGCAAACCTAGAGTGGCCTTAGCCCATACCACATTGGTTCTTAGAGTGGCTGATGAAACATACTCGCACATCTTTCCTATCAGTACTCACTGCCCTGCACCCTCACTGTAATATCTCTCCAGGACAGATTCCCTGCCACACAGGCCTTCCTCCCACAGGACACTCAACCCACTGTGCGAATGCCTCGTGCTTCTCTTTCTTTGTAATAATAAGTCCCTCTACCTCTGTAGTTGTGGTGAAAAATATTTTTAAAAGAAGAATCTTCCCCTACCCCCACCCACAGGGAGAGATGCTTTACCCAATTCTGACCCATCTAGGCTTCCACTGATACCTTTAGCTTCACTTAGAACTCTGTAGACTCGGGTTTCTGCCTTATGGACCTGATGCATCTCATCAACTCAGCACTGCCACTAAATATCAGGCTATGGAGAGAATATAAGCTAAGCATAACATAAGGCTGGCACTGGAACCAACTTTAGGCATTTAACTCAACCCTTTGATTTTATAATAGTGATATAACAGCAAATATTTGTGTGACACCATGTTCCACATAATTGTTGAAAGTACTTATATAAGTCCCTTGATTCACTCAAGGATCCTGGGAATGTAGACGTAATGTTGCTGTCAGTGCCATTTTGCAGATGATGACATTGAGGCCTACCAAAGTCAGTGTACTTGCAGAGTATTGACGAATTGTTGGAAGCTAACTGTGGTGTCTGCAATATTAATCCCTACATGACGCTGCCTCTTCAGAGGAAAACTGAGGTTCAGAGACTGTAGTTTACCATCCTAGCACTTATGTCTGCAAAGCAGTCAATCCCCGACTAAATTCTCCATCTCTGACTTCTAATCCAGCAAACTTAACCTTTCCAGTCTCTGCTGAACCTGCCAAATCTATATGTTGTCAGTCATCTCAGGGTGCCGTTACTATTCCAGTGCACGTCAATTTGCCTCATAAGGATTTATGAGCTATGCAGCATTTCTTTTTTTTGCAGTCTTACTGGTTTCCTAATTGTTAATTTTGCAGAATGGTGACAAAAAAAAAAAAAAAAAAAAAAAGCTCAAAAGATCTGGCCCTAGATCTCTTACCAATGGTGAAATTTCAGGCCTGCATTTTCTCCTCTGTAAAACAGGAGACTGGACGAGATGACCCCACACAATCTCACTAAGTCTTGGCTGTCTTCTCAGGGCCCCGGGCTCTTTGCAGGGAAGGTGTGGTGTGGTGCTTTATATGCTCCACTGCATATCCAACAGCACATGGCTTACGGGAGAGTCTATTGCTCTTGCAGAAGTCACTGGTATAATAGTTTGAATGAGGTTCCCCCAAAGTGCTCATGGAGTGCAAACCTCAGAATGCCATCTTATTTGTAAATAAGGTCTTTGCAAATGCAATCAATAAGGATAAGTTCATCTCCAGGTAGGAAGGGATCACAAGTACGAGTGGTGGCTTCATGAGATACACAGACACAGCCACAAAAGAAAACAATGACGTGAAGACAGGGCAGACTGGAGTGAGCTGGCTAAAAGCCAAGGAATAGTGGAGATTGTTGGCAACCTCCAGAGCTGGGAAGAGACAAGATGGGACCTTTCACTAGCACCTGCAGAGGAAGCGCTCCCGGCTAATACCCTCTCTGTGGAATGCAAGTCTCCAGAATTCTGAGAATACTTTTCTCCAGGTCTCAGCCACTCACTTTATGGTTATTACAGCAGCCGTCGTATCCACAGAGGCTAATTCTCA